GAAAATATCTAAGGGATGCTAACTACACGGGACCTCTTAAGTGATGCTTACCAATCTGAACAAAGCATGCCTGTTTTCACGTTTCTCAAGATGTTCAGTGAGTCAGTTACAATCATGGCGGTGTGTACAGTTGATTATCAAGCAATAGAAAGGCATCATAGACAGCCTCCACCTTCATTCTTAAACTAAACGTTGTAATTTCATATGCAAGGCTTTGCTGCCTTTTCAGTCTGTTACACTTAGCTCTGCCTTGGGCTTCATGCAGTAGATGCTTCTTGTCTGCTGCTTTTCTTGCTGCACTTTAAACCTTTCAGCGGTCGGCAGTGCAAGCATTATATTGCCTACATTCATAGACGCTTCGAACGCGCTTCGTAATGCTGGGATGCCGGGTTCGATCTCAGCTGCGGACGATTCGTCTTGCATTGGTTTCGACAGTGGTACCGAGAGTTGACTGTTCAGAAGCAATGGCAAACCACTGCATGTAACATTATCCTTAAAAAAACTATACCAGCCAAAAAATGCTGTGGTTGGTTCCGCAACTAATAAAAACTGCCTTGATATCTCTGGTACATCCTAGCATTACTCGCATGGCTTTACTCTGTATACGGTGAAGCTGAGTGAATAACATTCAACACCACCTGGACCGCACAACAAGCGACAAACACACGGTGACACCAAGTCCCACTATTCAGATAAAGATCGCCCTGCTGCAAATACCAGAAACACCTTTCAACCGGTAGGTTATATAAGGGTCCCTGACTACACTCTCATCACCTTCTTTTTCCTCTTTTGTGTGTTTGTGTGTGTGTGTCTGTGTGTATGTCTGAGCGTGTGTGTGTGTTTGTTTGTATGTCTGTGTGCGCGGGTCTGTGTGTATGTCTGTATGTAAGTGGGACTCAATGTGTATCTGAGTGTGTGTCTGTGTTCGTGTGTCAGTGTGCGTTTGTTTGCGTGTGTATATGCCTGTGTGTATGTATGTGTGTAGTGTGTGTGTCTGTGTGTATGTGTGCGTGCGTTTGCTAGCATGTGTCTGTGTACGTGTATGTGGGCATCAGTGTGTACGCGTGTGTATCTGTATGCATCTAATATATTTGTATGCCTGTGTGTGTCTGTGTGTGTATGTCTGTGTTTATGCATGTGTGTGTCTTTACGTGTATATGTGTATGCGGGCGTGTGTCTGTGTGTCTGTTTCCCTTTGTAAGTATGTGTATGCAGGGGTGTGTCTGTGTGTGTATGTCTTTGTTTATGCATGTGTGTGTCTGTACGTTCATATGTGTATGCTGGCGTGTGTCTGTGTGTCTGTTTCTCTGTGTATGTTTCTCTGTGTATGTTTGTGTGTGTCTCTGTGTGTGTGTTTCTGCAAGTGTGGTCTGTGTATCTGTGTGTGAGTCTGTGGGTGTGTGTTTTGTGTGTGTGTGTGTGTGTGTGTGTGTGTGTGTGGGTGGTCGTGGGTGTATATCTGTCTGTTTTTGTATGTGAATTTATGTGTGTACATATGTGTGTCTGTATGCGAGGATGCCTGTATGTATATATGTTTCTTCTTCTTTCCCTTTATCTCCACTTGCATCGAACTATGTACAGATAATACATCATCAGTCCTGTCACAAGTTACCAACTGTAAACAAGCAAACTCACGAAAACGTCGCTCGATGCATTACCTCCATAGACCTCGACCTCACATAGTGTGAGTACCAAGTCTGAGTTGGTAATCGACACAACTATCATCCCAATATCCAGGGGCTGGTGACTGATTGTGTAAATCGACTTAGGGTTTGGGCTGCTGTCTCTATACACAAACACTGACCGGTTTAATGCGTCAAAACTCTCCAGTTTGAATCCCATAATTCGCCGTATGCAATCTTCCAGTTGGAAAAAAACAAACATCTCATTCATGCATTCATTCTGATAAACAGAGATATTGTTCAAAACCTATTATTTGTTTACATTATACATATGTATCTTAGAGCTTCAACTGGCCAGTTTGACATATGAATTTTTTTCTGAGTGACGTCAGTTAAATGATTTTTGTTTATTTGTGTTGGCGAATGAAACATTGTCTCTTTATGTCATAAGATGATGTAGGCTTTTTACCCGCAACGTTCACTTGTTGTTTGTGATTGTGATATTGTAAAGATGGCGAATTCTATATTTCGTTTGGTCTGATATTGTTATTGATATTATTACTCAGTATTGATCTGTGCTGAAAGAGCCGGCAAAGATAATAATTTCTAGAAATATATGCAACACATGTAAATGGTAAATGTCACATGATGATTTTCGACACAATTTATGGCCTAGAAACACGAGCGAAGCAAAAAATGGATTTACTCGAAAAATCAGATGGTAATGCCCCGCATATATTTTTTTCTGTGTGAATAATGGTGATAAATGATAATAAAACGGCTGTTATTCTGTTGATAGCATGCATCTTCTCTGTAGCAACATACGGATGTGTGTCGTGGACTATTTCCCAGTCCTTAAGAAAAAGAATAGGGTTTTTTGAGCTGAAATGCTATAGAAAGAGTCTCAGAATGTCTTGGACAAAGAAGAGGAGAAATACTAACATCTTGAAAGATCTGAACATCAAGGACGATTAGCTAATAAATTGAATCATATCTCGGAAGCTGAAAAATATTTGTCATATCAAACACCACGACAGATTTAAAAAAAAAAAAAGCAGAAGTCCTTGTACCATGAAGGAGGGTCAGGAGCCGACCTCCACGAAGATGGCCACAGGAACAAGTGACTCCTTGAGTATGAAAGTACACAAGGCGGAAGAGCTACTTGATAATGATAATAATATTCTGTTCAAATAGCGGACGTTACAAGATTGAGCTCTGGTATAAATGCATCCTCGACGGTGCTACAGAGCCTGTGCACTGTGCTGAGCTTCTTGGGACTCACACTTGAGTTAGAAGAAGAACGGAGCACTTATGGATTACTACCCATGTGCCATAATGTTGATCCGTTGTTAAAACTTCAAAACCTCAATGCCTGTGGCAATAATCTTGTTTGCTTGTCCGATCAGCGCAGCAGGAGAAGCCAAGGCCTGAGAGTTATCACCCAGGTCTAATCGCCCCCTCTCCACTTTCCTTTCGATTCGAGATTGTCTACGGAGGCAAACGGGTAGAAGGAGTTGTTGAAAGGGGAAAATCTACTAAAGATCGGTAGACTCCTGCATGCTACCGTTGTGTAGTCTTTTTGTGTGTGATATTACTCAGCTATCCTGGGGGAAAAAATGGTGACGTTGAGCTAACCACATACACCCACATACACCCATTTATAATCAAAATATCTCAGGTTCTTTTGATCAGCTTTAAACATTTTTAACTGCATATGAAAATTGGCATGCTCATCTGTTACAAGGTTAGCGGCATAGAATATGTAAAAGGAAAAATATGATATTTTACACATTTCTGGCCAGACTGTCCCCTTAAGGACTGGGAAATAAACCACGACACACATCCGTGTGTTGCTTCAGAGAAGATGCATGCTCTCAACAGAATAACATATAACGTAGCCTATGACTTCTAGTATTTCCCCCTGGTCATTGGGTAGTGAAATCGATGCATTGTTGCCTACGTGAAAAATCCCGTGGCAGTTGGAGACCGAACAAGTAGCTAAGATGCAGAGCCGATTGTATTATCTTTGACCGGGAAGGCAAACCCGGTCAACAAATTCCCGCAGAAGTCGGATGTGTTGACCGAAAGGTGCAAATATCGCAGCCATGCTGTAAACGGACACAACGCAATTACATCTTCGGATGAACGCAAAAGAAGAAGAAGAAGTATTATCATTCACACACTTGGATATGGAGATGTATTTGTTGCAATTGTAGATGTACCTAACGGGTTGATGATTTTCAGCCACTGAAAAAAAAAAAAAAAAATTCAATCATTCTCAACCTGACGATCCCGAAACGTTGATATTTTTTTTTTAAATTAAGAAATTATAATCTATCTCAGCGCTAGTTCTCGTCTTCTTCTAGGCCATGTTCAACACATTGTTTCCAGAATGTATATCTTTGAGAAGGACTCAGGTGTCAGAATGTCAGCATCACACATTCAAAATGTACTTCTTCATGTCTGCATCTCATCTTTTGACTTTAGCCAAAACAATGTATAATAGGTTGAGTTGTGAATGATATGCATGGAGCCACATAGGAAGTGTGGCCGTATTTAATATTGATTTTGTCAATGTCATAGACCTTTGCCATATTTGCTTTCTTCATGAGCTTTTACAGCTTTGCTTTCAAATATGTTTCGTCAAAGTTGACTTTTTCCTAAGCAAGCCATGTCCTAATTTGATCTTTTGTATTTGATGACGATGGTACTTAGTCTACCTCTGATACGTATTTTGATAGGTGGCATTATCTATTTCTAGGCGTGGTTGTCTGTCCAGAATTGGAAGACAATCATTGTCCATCCGGTACCTGAAAATGTGTCCATTCGTTTCAGTTTGGTAGTGTCTACAATCAGTACTTTTTGATTGGAAAATAAGTCCAGCCTCTTAAAAAAGGCTTTTTTCACTACTTCTTGCATAAGTGAGTATAATGTGCTGGCCATTGTTGCTTGGAATGCTCCTTTACTGCTCAAAGTTTACTGATTGTCATTCTTTAGCATAGCTATGGTGCGCATTAACCCACGATTCATCCAAATATACAGTATCATAGCCATGCCTATGTCGCTCACGGATCTGACTCGCGTATTTGCTTCGACTAGCAATCAAATGTGGCATTTCGCAAATAATATTCCTCCCACTTACAGTTTTCATGAAGGCGAACCCGGTGGCTCTTACAATTTTCCACAGACTCATGTTTGAAATGTCAATTCTGCGTTGTGTTTAAATGTTACTTTCAGTTTTCGGAGAGTAACAAGTTAATTTGTCTTTAACATTTTCTAAGATCTCATGTCTAAAGTCGTCAACTTTCATTGTCTTTCCTTGTTTGACATGAGTGCACTCTGTGTCATGTCTAATCCAACAGTTAAATGATGCTCTATCCAGACCAAGTGCCAATTGTGTTCTTTTCTCTGGGTCAAGAATATCACAATATAAATGTCCCATCTTAGTTTCCCCGAGGGAGTGCTGGTGCAAAAAAAAAAAAAAACGGTAACCTTCTGCATAGATATTGTTTTTTTTTAGTATCCAGAAGCCATGAGTTGTTAACCCTTAGGCTCGGTATTATGGATATCTCAACCTTTCGGCCTTGATTCCATTGTAAATACCGTAACTCTGGGAGAAAATGTGGCTTTTCTGCTTACCCCCGGGATTGAACCCGGACCACAAGGAGTTCGTCACCCGTTCTCCGCGCTATCCGGTTTAGCCAACTACGCTAGAGAGCCGGGCTTTGTATATATATACATTTGCATCTCAAATTCATTATTAAATTGATGTCTATGTCAGCCTTTATTGTCTAGCCTATATTACACAATGCGGCGTCCGTGGCTTAGGCGTTGCGAGCCTACTCGTAATCCAGCGTACCGCGATCGAAACCCACTGCTGGCTGCGTGGAATTTTATATTGGTAGGGGCGTCGCAGGTCGACCCAGTCTGAAAGTTACCAGGATGGGCTGTCCTTGGAAACAAAGACAGCCAAAAAAAAAAAAAAAAGATAGTGTCCAAGCAGAGGTAATGAATTGCGGCGCTTACTATACACGTAAATGACCCTTTGTTTGCGCCTTCTGGCGTACTGCGCATACAGGGCTAGACCTCAATTTGTATTCACCACTCGTAACAACACGTTGGGTGATGTGGTCAACAAAAAGAGACAAGGCACGTGGCTCACGCCAAAAAGCAAAACAAGAGGACAGACATTAGAAAAACTAAAACAGTGCAATGTGCTGATTGTCGAGACTACAAAAAGAGCAAGAACAAGACGCTCCTTTCTTCCTCGAAACCTGAAAAGTTTGAAACAGAGGATTGGAAGAACTGTATATACTTACTATCCGCCCTATTGTATATGACGTATCTATGGACACTACGTTGTCTTGAGAAGCGCAAAGTCCATGTCGGGATATGGCCATCCTTATTGACGTAGATGGCTGTATGTGTACAGCTCGAGCGTCCAAAATTTTGATCTGTGTTGCCATCCACAGCTTTGTCTGCAGAGTTCCTAATATCGCGAAAGTTATGTGTAGAACTTTGTGTTGCGTTCTCCTTTAGGGCCACATTACGACCTGTCAGTGATTTCAATACATACTATTTACATTATACACTTTATTAAGTGACATATTCAATACAATACTATTCAAACTTTATATATGCTGTCTAATCAAACCCACGAAAGACTGCTACTTACTCTAAACACAAATAAGGGGTTTTAATCGTACGCCGTGTACATCGTGCACTGGAGGTGTAGCTTCTGGTATGGCCGCGTTAGTTACCTTGATTATTTTAAGCCTAGACTATCACGCATCAGTTTTAGTGCTTAAAACAAACCACTTACTAGTTCGAACACGTGTTCGCAACGTATTCCACCGCAAGGAGGTTGATGCGTTTGTTTGTTACTGTATAATTATTATCTGTTCGATGTTTTTGCGACTGTATTTTCTTAGCGTCCTTAGCAACATGGACGAGCTATATTCGAAAATGGCACCCATGAAACTTTTGCAGTGGAACACAGAAGATTCAGAGAGGTCCATGGCTGTAGATCTCCGATCTCTCGCGCAGTAGAGAACACCAGCTGTTCTCCCCTGAGAGCCTGGCCTAGCCCTATGAGTATTTGTACCTTAAGGGTGAAAGGGGCACACTTAGGTCGCTAAGTCACCTAATGAAGAAAACCCTTCTACAGTCATGACCGTTGTTCGTGACCGAAGAAGCACAAAACACAACGGATCGAGAGGAGACAAACTTGATTTAAAAAAAAAAAGCTTTCGGTCTACCTACGTGCCTGTTGGCTGAATGGCTGTGGGATATAAAGCCATAAACGTGGAACGTCTTGTTAGGGGGTGGGTCGGCTCAAGGCGTATGGACTCCTATAGGATATTCACTGCCTCTTCCCTAGCAGGCAGGCAACACTATGGTGACAGTGTTCCTGCATTTAAAGAATATTGACTATGGCTTTTGTACTTATTAATAAAAATATTCATCCTTGAGAGGCGGCAAAAAAAAAAAAAAAATCCTCATCTACAGATTCGTGGCTTAATCTCCAGGCTCAAAGACACCCCCTCCCCCACCCAACCCCCCCCCCCTGCCTATATCGCAAAAGTGGTATAAAAGCGGTAATTGACAGATGCATCAGGACCGTATCTAGCTAATGGCTTTTTCATGACTAAATCTAACCAGGGGTGCAGTGAGAGTTAACAACCGGCGACCGTTACCTCCGCTGACGTGGACGGAGCAAATACGATCCACTAAATGCCCGTCCAGTGTCACTTGGTTTATCTCCTTTGTGAGGGAACACTGCACATCCACGATCAAGCTGTCCACAACCTGCATCCTCAAGTCAGTACAGTCGACTGCAACCGTGTCGCGAAAGAACGTCACTAACAGCTCATTGCGTCTAGCAGTTTCTGGGGGGACATGTGTAAAGGTTTACTAAATACAGTAAAATCAAAGAACACTTGTTTATAAATTGCGATAGAGAGGCTTCCTACTCTTCTTATCCTTATTTTCTTCTTCTTCTCTTCCACCTTGTACCTCATCGAAGTGTCGGGCGGGAGACGTGATGTTCGTTGATGAGCTCTGTCAAGAGCACTATTAAGACTGATGTTCATTTCTGTATAGCTGTTCTTAATGCCATCACTCCATATTTTCCGAAGTCTTCCACTCGCTCTCTACCTGTTGTAACATTTTAGTGTAGCTCGCTGTGGCAGATATTACCAGGGCATTCTAGTCAGGTGTCCAAACCACTTCACTTGTTGTTTCTTTGATGACCTGTAAGACTGGCTTTATTCCTAGCATGCATCTGATTTCATGATTTCGTATTCTGTCTTTCCTTGAAACTCCTGCAGCTCTTCTAAGGCATTTCATCTCTGTTGCCTCAATTTTAGGTTTATTGGAGGATGTGTCCACGTCTGGCATTGATAGCACAGTGTTGGCCAAAAAATAGTTCTGATAAAATTCACTTTAGTACTCCGAGGTATCTGCTTGTGTGTCAACAGAGGAGATAGTTGCCCCATTACTTGATCAGCTTTGGCACATCTGGAGCTAATTTCTCTGTCCAGTTTTCCGTCGGAAGTAAAAATTGCTCCCACATACCTAAATTACTCTGTTTGTCTCAGGGTGTTGTTTTTTATGATTATTTCCAAATTGTCATCATGTCTTCCCATAATCATCGTCTCTGTCTTCGTAGTTTTTATTTTCACATTATATTCCTCACCTTTGTTACTAATTTGATTTAGGTGGTTCTGTAGGCATTCCTTATTTTCCGCTATGAGTACCTGCTCGTCGGTGAATACGATCCTGTAATATCTTCTTCATGATTAAAGTTCGTTTCGCTACATATGGTATCCATGTATGTTATAAAAAGAAGCGGCGATAGTACACAGCCCTGACGCACACCAGAGTTCACTATAAAGTTTCTTGACAACTCTGCCTACGATCTTATGCAGCATTTACTACATGTGTACAGGCTTTTGCAAATATTAATGAGATGATTGATGATTCATTTTTTCCCCATAAAATTCCACATTTTCCTGTAGACTCTTTCAAAGGCTTTTTTTCTCTTCCTATCAATAGCGATTTTTTCTTTAATCCTTCTAAATCATATCGTTGACTACTGGGCGCGTTTTTCAAGTAAGTCCTGTTTTGACCGCAGCTACAAACGCCGATGGTGTAGTGTTATCCTTTTCTCTTATCGTCTCAGTGATAAGAAAAACTAGACGGCTGGGACTCACGAGCAGGAGCTACCGCATCTCCTGCAGCTTCCTTTATTTTATTTGCTTGTGAGTCCCAGCCATCTAGTTTAGGGAGAACGGACAAAATAAACGCTAGGTACGGGCACTGTTTGGAGCCGTGGCAAATTTCTTCCTTCTGCCAGACGGTGGTCGTTGCATTTTTGCTCTATTTGTTAGTTAGTTAGTCTTTCCTCTTGTGTCGAGTGCGGCACATAGGGCAGAGGTCATGACTCTCCATGCATGGCGGTTCGTTGCAATCTGTTGTAGGTCTTGGATGTTTGAGTGGCCCATGTGCGAGCCTTCCCTGATGATAGTTCTACTTAGGGCTTCCATTGGTCTTCCACGAGATCTTTTCCCCTGTGGTGTCCACATGAGGGCTTGGTAAGGAAGTCTTGATTTATCCATTCTTAGGGCGTGGTCGACATATTTCCAGCTTCGTTTTCGTATAAAATTAGACACATACTCTTGCCTGGATTCTTGCCTTATTTGTGTATTGGTTCGGAAATCTGACCATTTGAAATTTAATATTCTTCTAAGGCATTTATTTTCAAAACTGTCTAATATTGTGTCTAAAGTTTTCGTTGGTTTCCAGCTCTCGCATCCATAGGTTAGTACTGGAATCACACAAGAATTGAAGATCTTGAGTTTTGTGTGTTTGCTAAGTGTCTTTGATTTCCAGATGTTGGACAGTTTATTGAAGGCACTAGATGCCAGTGCTGTTCTAAATGGTATTTGTGGTGCGGTATCTCCTGTAGATGACATCTTGCTCCCTAGATAAGTGAAACTGTTGACTTTTTCAAGGCTGTTGTTGTTCAGCGTGATATCAACTGAACTGTTGGTAAGGTCTAGAATTTTTGTTTTTGCGGTGTTAATTTGGAGTCTAATTTGTTCTGAGAAATTCTGGAGTCGATTGATTTTTTCTTGGGCGTCTGTGTGTTCTGAACTCAGAAGTGCTATGTCGTCGGCTCCATTTGTAGACTGAAAAAATATAGTTTCGTCGCCCAGCTTTTGGGTTGAATGCATGGCGTGACATTGTGAGCTGCGATTTTTATTTGAAATATTTTTTCGACTTTGACCAACGTGGTGGTGTGAATTGTAGATTCAGAAAATGGTGCGATGCCTGTTGTCGCAATATTGGTGGTGCCCTTGTGATTAAAATTGATC